CAAGATGACAAAAATGGGAAATTCTAGCAGATGACAAGGAAGTTATTCTGCTTTTAAAAAGTGAGCACTTGGATGATGGAAATATATGTTATTTGCCTTAAAATAAGTACCCCGATCATGGATGTTGACACACTCTCAGAGCCTTAGGTGAAGACTGGATTCTGTGATATCCAGCCATTATATCAAATAAATGGATCCAAACAAAACAATTTGAGTTCAGCTTGACATGGGAGGAGTATTTATTGTTCACTATAACCTTGAGATAGCTCGATAACAAAAAGGCATACTACACCTGCCTGGTGATGTGAAACATGCTCTGGGTTAGCAAAAGGTCTTTTGCAATGAAACTGGTTACATCCCCAGAATAAATTCGTTGCGATTATTTGAAGAATGCATTTCTGTGTTTACTACGCATGATTGAATGAAGGAATTTAATGGCCATTTGTCTCATTCTCCCACCATCTGGTCAGGTTAAGACTAAGATCATAGTGAAGAGAGAAAAACTGACTTTGATGAAAGGTGGATGGTGTAATGTGAGTGAGGCTAACAGAATGGCATCTTGAAGTGACTAATTAGGAAGAAAGGCTTTTGTGTCAGAGAAAGATCTGTTATACCAACTCAAGTTAAGGTTGAATAGTTTGTGTTTTTTATTCTCTTATGTTTAGTTAGTTTAATTAAGCTAAGTGATGTAAGTTCATTGAGCTCCTTTTTATTCCCTACATTTCCATTTCACATTTGTACCCTCCTCTCCTTGTTAGATAACAATAAAGTTCTATGGTAATGTCTGAATAGTTCACTTTTTCTTTATTGTTTTTAATATTTTCATACATCATTTTTTTGACGAGTTAACTTTTGCCACATTAAAATTTTTGAAGGAGGAGGGGGAATGTATGCTAATGTATCTGTACAAATGTTCTTGTAAATAAATTTTGCTTCACTAAATTATTGAGGAAAACTTTAAAATTGTGGCATTTGTACCTACTCCTGAAAATTGTAAATATGAGTTTAGTTAGATTTTCATTATGTGAGAGACAATGTGACTTTTTGGTGATTGCTGTATGAAAGATTTCAGATTAGATGCAATGGTATTTTGAAATGGACAATGAAGAATGGTTGTGTCAAGAACTGCAAGTGGTTAAGTTAATAATAGGATAGTTGGGAGGAACATCAGCCCCATTACATTATTTTTTTTTGTTATTATACAAAAATAATCTCTGGCAAGCAGTAAGTAAAATCTCGGCATCCAAGTTGAGAGATTTGCTGCATAGTCCCCCACTAAAGATAAATCATTTTCAATTCCTTGTGTTCTACATCTTGCATCTGTGTGTTTTTCATTGGAAGATAATTTCTGTATTACTTGTTTAACAAAAGAACTGTAGTTTGTGTTCAATTGTAAGAAAATCAATTTCATTTTCTTTCTTATTGGTTCTTCAATGTTCTCTTTGGCAACAATAAATCTCTTCTTCTTGTTCTCTTTTCTATCTCTTGTGCTTTTACCATTTGTCAACTGCAGAAAACACAGGCTCAACTATATGACAATTGTAGGATCTAAAACAATTTTTTCACTTCCAAGAAATTTCATATTCTTTCCAACAGTTGGAAATTTGCATATTATCAGCAAAATCTTGTATTTGCGAGAATGTAACATGCTTAAATATTTGCCTTATGAGTGGCCAATTTTTTTTCTCTCTGGATTTCTTTACATTCAGTGCATGGTGGTAAGTCATTTTTTCCTTTATTTGCTTTTTCCTTCAGTTCTCCAACCACAAGAACTTTTTACATAGACCCACATTAACTATATCCACTGCACACACTCATACTTCATAAGTAACTAAGCAGTGAGTGCTGCTATGAAGCTATACACTAAAAATCAATTCAAAGAAACAATGTTCAGGATTTCAATATTTGTTGTTTTTTTTTTTTAAATAAAAACAATAAATGTCACTCTGTTTATTTATTAAACAGTATATTTAAAGTGATAAAAATCTGTCAATTTTATCACTGATGGATACAGGTTCAAATCCTGCTGGAGAATACAAATGTTTCTTCATTAAGAAATCTCAAACATTCAGGCTGCTAGACAAAAATGAATAGATATACGATTTAATAAATACAGGAATGCCTTACTCAAGTATGAGTATCCACTAAAATAACATTTAAAGTGATATTTTTATCACTTTAAACATTAATTGGATAAATAAATAAAAAGATCTAAAATTCTTTATTTACATTTGGATACAGAACTGTGCAGATATGAAAAACTTTGAGAGATTTTACGACAGGAGAAATTTTGCTTGACTGCACTAAATTTTGTCTTGCCTGACTGATTGCTCTTCATGGCCAAGTTGGTTAATGCATGCCAGGCTTAACAGTAGCCCCCTCTGTCCTGAGGAACACAGGTTCAAATCCTGCCAGAGAGTGCAATTTTTTCTTTAATAAGATTTCTCAGATTCAGGCTGGTAGATAAAAATAAATATGTTTAATAAATAAAGAGCCAACTCAAATACAAGTATGGACAAAAAATAAGATTTAAAGTGATAAAAGTCTGATTAAAAAAAGAAATAATTCTAAAAACTATATATAAGCATCCAAAGAGAGAGTAAGTTACAAACTATTTTTCGCATTTGGGGGTGGAGTGTAACCATCACCGGTAGTCACGTGATCAATTCCTGAATGAACGCTGTTACTGCGTTTTGCAGAGAAACTTGTAACAAACACAACCGAGAAAATATCGATGAATCAGAATTCCTAGAACTGCTACTACTTCGGTTGCCTCAATGTTCTGTGGCATTTACTTTTTCAGTGAATTTACAACCTTAAGTTACTGTTGTAAATAAAAGTGTTCTTAAAAATTTAATGTTAATTACAATTTTGGGAACCTTGTACTTTCGAGCTGGAGGATATTTCGACTTGAATCGAAAGACTTCATCATTTGATAAATCGGAATACAACGTGAGCAATTTTGTCTATCTCCAAACCGAAACAACAATCAAGGATGAACACTTCCAGCAATCCAAACAAGGGTTAGTGAGCGAAATATAGCTGTTGCATATGACCAGGAAGACAATCTACAATTAAATTAATTAATCATGGCCTAGTTTAATTTTTTTTATAGTCATGGCACAATTTTTAATTTTCATTTATGTATTATTTTATTTTTACTTCATAATTATAATTTATATTTAATAATACTCATCTAAGGATTGATTTTCGAGTTTAAGGAGGTGTAACATGAAATTAATTACCTTACCCTCCAACACTTTTGTTACCATATGATTTAAAACCTCCTTTAGTCTTTTAGTTTTCATTCAGATGGAAACGTAGGGACAATACCCGTGGTTATTTAACCACTAATTTTGAATTGATATTCGTCAATTAACAATAATTATTGTGTACAAAATCTTTCAACGACTAGAAAAAAAGTCACTATAAAAATAATACAGGTTGGATTGCTTTCGTATAGTAAGTGAAACAATTTCTCATACCAAAGTCAATCATCGATTCAAAACCTTTTTTTTTTTTTAATATAAAATTAAGAAACAAAACATGTTGTGATTCTTTGTAGGTTTTAAAAGTGTTTTGTTTACACATATATTTACATACAGTGCAAGTGTTGGAGACAGTTGTTCTATCGATTTTGTTGAATTAGAAAAAAGAAGCATCTGCTGTTATGTTTGAAGTAGATTGGATTCAACAATAATCATCTATGTCAGTCAGTCATCATTTTTAAGATGTGTCATCTTCGTTTTCGAGTGGGTAATTTTCAATTGAAAAAACCTTCTGACCACTTTTTCTTAGCATTTACTTAGTCATTAAGTTCACCTTTTACCAAACGCTAGGTTCTGCTTCTACTGAAAATTTGTACAAGAAAGATTTAAAAAAAAACAAAAAAACAAAAGCTCTCAACTTTTGTGCTGCTATGTTGATTTCATCCGTTTTTCTTTTTGAAAGTTATCTTGTAGATAGCTGAAATGCTTTGGAATTTAAAGGTTTTTTTTAAGCAGATTAAAAATCGCATTTTTAAATTAATTTCAAACAAAAATATGCGTAATTTAAAACAATGAAGCAAGCACACAATTGTAGGGAGAAATAAATTCACAAATATGAAAAATAAAATAAAAAAATCTAAAAAAAAATCAACAATTTTCCAAAACTAATTTAATGCATTTCACATCAACCTCCAATAATAAATTTATTATTTTAAAAAAAAATGAAATCTTGTAATAAAAAGTGATTAATTGCTTCTTTTTTTTTTTCTAAACAACCGCTTGTTTCCTCTACAAGAGCGATTTTTTTTTTCAAGCTTTGCAATCACAAGTAAATTATTGACTAAATCTAAACTTTTTACTGTAAGATCTGAGTAACAAAAAAAAAAAAAGGTAATCATTTTTTAACTTAAAAAAAAAAAAAAAATCTTTTTTTTACTTCACATTGGTAATTGAATCCGATGAAAATTTGAACAATTTAATTTTTTTTATCCTTGCCTTCTTTAGCAAAACATTATTTTAGTAGAGATATTGAAAACTTTTGGTAATAATAATTTTTCTTAAGGTTTAACTTTAAGAAATCTAATAAATAAAACTTTTTTTTTTTTTTTTTTCTGACAAAAGCAAAGTCAAAGAAAATTTCCGAAAGATGTTTTGAGGTCAAACGAGCCATAACAATACCATATTTTTAAAAAGATTAAAAAAGAGTCAATTTTTCTTCGATCTTTATTTATTTATTTTCACGAACTGTTTAAAAGTTCATAAACTCCATCAAACTGCAGTTTTCGATAAACTCCGGGGAATTGGTATTAAAAAAAAAACAAACTCTTTTTTTTTTCTTCTTTTAATTATAAATTAGAAAGTATTAAAAAAAATAGCACAATTAAATCATTTTTGTACCTAAAAATAGCCTGAAATACATGTACTAATTTTAGCTTTTGTGAAGTATAAAAAATTAACCCAACAACACAAACATTTGTTTGTTTGTCATTACTTTTTTTTGTCTGTACTTACCTTTATTCGCAACTTCCCATGCACATTCGAAAAACCAAAGATTTTTAGCTGCAGCTGAAGAACCCCCATCTCTCATAAATTCCTCTTCATTATCAAATTCTTTCATGGACCTAAAAAAGCTGCTTCTCCTGGATAAAGACATGATTATAGGTTATTTGTACGAACAGGCAATGGAAGATGACGACGATTCATAAACGACTCTTAGTTTCAAGGTCACACGAGCTTCGGTATGGAGTTCACTCGACGTCAAGGTGAAGGAAACAACCTACTGCGCAGGTCATTTCCGGAGAAAACACGTGTTCAGAAGATATCAATATTTATTTTTTTTATATGAAAAAAAATAAAAAGAATGACCCAATGCCAAATGATTTACGATTGTGAAGGATCACATTCACTATTTGATTACTCCTTTCAGTATAACATCATCATAAATTCTCTCTGCAAGGGATGCAGTAGTAGTAGTAGTAGTAATGAGGACAGACAGGCCGAGATTTTTTGATTTTTTTGCATGGTATAATAATTCGTCCCCCCTAAATGGGTCTCAGTTGATTGGGTGGCACACATTTTTAGTTTTAGGTTTCCATTCAAAATAAAAAAAAAAGTTTCTCTTAACAGTAAACATCCGGGTGATATTCTTTTTCAATGTTTAATTTTAAAGGTGAATTAAAAAAATGAGATACAACATTTGTATCTCATTTTTTTATTTTAATTTCTCAATTAATAAATCGGTTCAAATTTTTTCATTTTAATTAATTTCTCAATTAAATTGGTCCCGATCATTGAGAAAAATTCTTACGCACGTTTTTTTCTAATTACAGATTTTATAGTTGGAGTTTATAAATATTTAAAAAAAAAAAAAAGAAAAAAACAGAAATTCCAATATATACAAAAAAAGCACTTTGATGTAGTTTTTAATGGTTTAAACAGACGTTTTACAAGCTTGTCTCCCGCTAGATCAATTACAACTTACAACCGATTAAGGAGTTCGATTCTCAATGGGTGTTTCATATTTTTTGGCCTTGCTACACTTATAGCTAAAAAATATACAAATAGTGTTAGTAGAAGATGCTGAAAAGTTCTCGATTCACTAACCAAACAGCAGATTTTTTTGTGGGAGGAGCACTTCTTGGTCGAGCCTGAGAACTTTTCATCATCTCGTATGTCCCAATCCTAAAAATACTTAGGTTACCTCTTCTTATATTACCAGATAAAAATAATTGAAATCATTTTCTATGGCATATTTTCTGATGCTTTTTTTTTCTCTTAAAATATCAGCATTAGTTAACATTAACAACAAAAAAACTATTATTAACCATTATCCTGACAATTGTTAAAACCGCTTTTTTGCATCTTTTAGGTTTAACTCGTTACCGTGTAGTATTCGTGCTAGATATCATGTTGAAAACAAGTAAAAAAAAAACAGCCCATAACATTGAGGAGAAAAAATGTAATTTTCGTGTATTTTTAAAAGTAGGATGCAAAAAATGGTTTTGTGGGTTGTAGCTGAGTGAAGATGTATCAAAAAGTAATTTATAAGACAAAGATTATGCATTATCCAACAACACGTAGATCAAATAAAGAATATAAGGACAATTTGCATTACAAGAAATTACTAAAAACACAGTGGTTAGAGATCCAACAATAAAGAGATTTTTATATATACAATAGATATACATATAACAGAATGTTTGTTGATTGTAGCAATTAAGACAAGGTTATGAAGAATGTTCATGCAGAAATTTGGTCAATAAAAGTTAATGGTTTTGATTTGTTAGTGAAATTAAAATAATTTGGTTTCTGCAAGGAAAAATATCTAATGTGTTAGTTCAAATATTAGTGTGTTACTTGTTAGAATTTAAGTTGTGAAGAGTTGTTTGCCTTTAACTGTTTGGCTAAATTGATGAATTGTACAATTACAGTTTGTGTCGTGAAAACATTCACTCTTTAAGTCAATTGTAATTTGATTACCACGCGGACAATAGTCAATTGAGTGCTGTGTTGAGTTTGTTGTGAATTTTGAAGTGGTGTTGAGCCAGTGAATTGACACGTGTGGAGTTTGGTAGCATCTCACGAAACTCGATGACTGACAATATTTATTTCTGTAAAAGTTACACAAAATGTGGCACAAGGCCTAAAAAAAGGGGGTGGGGAAAGGACGGTCATCATTGGTCTTAATTTTAAAACTTAGCTAGCCACAACCACTGACCCAATCATACCAAACAATATTCCTACCACCAAAACAACACATTTATACTTACCTTTCTTACTAAAGCCACCAAAATACCTCATTGTCTCAATGAAAATCCTAAATAGTCCCCCATATGTACAAATCGTTGTCTGTGAGGAGAGGGGGAATAAAAAGAAGAAGTTAAAAATCCCCAATGATTATATACAATATGGTTATAAACTATTTACAAGAAAAAAAACACACACACACAAACCTTAAATGTGGCAGAAATATCAGTTAACGAAATCGATGCAGGACTATAAAAATATAGAAAACCATCCCAAGCACTCACACAGCACTCATTCTGAAACAACAACAAATACGAAAAAAAAAAAAAAAAAAAAAATACGCGAAACGAAAGGCGCTCGCATCCATCAGAGAACCGACATCACTGACCACCTAACGAGGGAGGAGGTGGGGAGTTAAATTAAAGGAAAAAAGGAACAGAAATAAAAGGAGCCAATGAGTAAACATACCCTAGCTATGTGACAAAGAGAGAGAGAGAGTCTGGGAAACACACACACGTATATTTTTTTTTTTAGTGAAATTAGAGTAGATTTGAATAGCGAAATTAAATCAGAGCATTTTGTTTACTGATGGGGAAATCTGATCTAGGGCAGAAGTTGTACACATTGAATCTGGATCATCAGCAGACAATGGAAATGGTCAAAATAATTTTTATCGATTAAAAATTGAAATAGAGCTGAGTAAGCTAGAAGGAACTTTGGAATTCAAATGATTTTGGTTGAAACAGCCAGAACCACGTGATAATTGCGTGCAAAGTAGCAGGACCGAGGGTCAGTTATAACCAAACTGGTTTATCTATATAAACGCGTAGTTATGTTGTTAAAGAGACTGGAGAAAATTCTTGAAGAGAGAAGAGAGAATTGACCCGGGCGAGCGTTGGGAGGAGGAACACCACTATAACTTTAAGCCCCGCAAAGAAATCTTTATCCCTCCATCGCAAGAGTCTTATAACGTTCTGAGACGATTTAACAAGATAATCACAACACTCTCTCTGTGTCTAGAATCCAGTGTATGAGTTTGTTTTTTTTTGTTTTTTTTACTTTTCCTTTCTGTGACCCGTTTCTCTTCTCTACTATTCTTTTCTGCTAAGACATTACCAATTCAACCATTGAATCGATGTTTGTCCGGCTTTCTGCAGATATTATTTTTTTTTTTTTTTTTTTTGCTGCATTCTAAATTTTTTAGTGCAGACTCCCCAGCCGTGTCTACATCTTCAGTCGACCGTGAATGGACGGACATCACTTCTGCTTTTTGGATCAAACAAATCACAACGTGGGCAGGAAGCAGGATCAAACCAGCGGACCGGTCGAATAATCTATGGATGCTCAGGGGATCTATGGCCACTCCCTTAAGTTCGGTTAAGACCGAGTAGACACCTCAACCCCTAGAGTAAGACACCGGAGGTTGAGGGGTCGAGGCGAAAGTGTTAGAGCAAAGTTTACTGGAAAAGAAAAGAAAAACTAAAGAATCAAATACAAAAAACCTACTCTAGCCTAAATCCAGGAATGGGTTGCCCAAGTTCAACCCAGGAAAACAATATCCTGATGCCTAACCAGCATCAAAATGCCACTCCAGGTCAGCCCCTTTTACTCGGCACAAGCGCGCAAGATTCACCCACCTTTTGCCAAATTCTGATCAGGTGAGCTGCCGCCTTTCCGTCCTAATCTTAACTTTAAGCTGGTGCTTAAAGAACAAGATCAGTTGGGAAGAAGTGAACTTCTCACCATCATAGAATTCCTTCTGACGTGTCGTCCAAATCACGACTCTCATAACACCTAGTAAGTAACAGAATACATAATGTTCAGCCTTCATCATCTGCGGTAGCACATTGCTACAAACAGAATTGGCCTCAAGGACAAACTTCAACAAACTTGCACAACGGCGCTACAATCCTGCAATGAAAGAAGGCGTGACCAATGGTCTCGACTTCCCCAATACATCGTCGGCAGTTTGGAGATTTCTCCAAGCACGCTGAACAAAGTCTTTTGGCGACCCAGAGGGCCCCATGAATCACCAGCCAGGTGAGTGATGCCACATCGTTATTGAGGCATTTCAACCCAGGCACCCAAGGCCATATTGAGCGAGATTCCTGCTTCGTAAGACCGAGCTTGTCAATCAGATCATCACGAACGGATCCCCTGACTAATAGTTGATACAATGCCCTATGAGACAACGCCTGGGCGTTGGAGAGGCCATCCGACGCCCATAAGAGGCGTTTCAGAGCAATACGACATTCATGATAGAAGAAGCATTCGGCTCGGGATAAACAGTGGGCCTCCACCTCGCTCAAGTGCACACTTCTCAGGGATGGGAAGTTTCTACGGACGTCTTCCTTCCAGAAGGCGCTCGCCTCATCCGATTCACGACACATTCCGTCTAGGAAGGCGATGCGAAGCATATACTGACGAATCTCAATGCTAGTCATACCCAGACCGCCCTCAGAGGGATGAAGGCAACAGATCTCCCGAGATACCATAGTGGCCTTGTCTCTCCACAAGAAAGAGAACGAGCCTTACTAATGACATTAGTGTGGTATACGGAAGTGGAAGTACAGAGAGTCGGTAAAGGAGAATCGGGTAGATGTGTACCCTCCCCTTCAAAGAAAGATTCCTCCGGGACCACAGATTAACCGCGATCTCGGCCTTCCCTTGTACTTCCAACCAATTCATTTCGAACCAGACGCCGAATATCTTGACTGGCCCATTCGTCCAGAGGAAAGGTCCGGGAAGAGAAACTCCCTTCCACGCACCCAACCGCAAGCCAACAGACTTATCGCGGTTGATCTTGGCCCCTGTCACCATCTCATAACCACTGATCCCTTGCTGACTTTGTCAATCTCGGCTCTGCTCGACACAAGAACCAAAACGTCATCAGCATAGGCAGAATAC